CCCAGTGTAGAAATGTCTCATACACACACACACATGCGTGCACACACAGACACATACACACAAATACAGTGCCAGTGTAGAAATGCCTCATACACACACACATACACACACAAATACAGTCCCAGTGTAGAAATGTCTCATTCACACATGCACACACACATGCACAGTCCTAGTGTAGAAATGCCTCATACACACACACACATATATACCTACACACAAGCACACACACACACATACACACACATAAGCAAAACAAAAGCAAAAAGAAAAGCCATCAAAAACAGGGTGATGTTCAACACAAGGGCCAGTTAATGGCTTTTCCTCGTGTCAGGAGCTACGCCCTAGGCAGCACAGAGGCCGCTATGAAGAGACATACAAGATGTTGGTTCCCAACAGGGCCCCCTGGTACTGCCTTTGCTCCCACTATGCCTCGTTGTCTTCAGGTCTCACACTGCCCTCTGCCAGCCTGTTCCCACCCTCTGGTGTTACTCCTTTGGCCAATATTCCTGTCATTTAATACTTTTTAAAGCATGTTACTGAATGCTGGGCACTGCCGTGAGCCCTTCACCACGTCTGACTCATCTAAGCCCCCAAGGTCCAGAGGGAAGCTTCCCCATTCCGCAGGGGGCTTGGGGACGAGGACTTCTCATAAAGGGGGCACAGTCACCTACTAAGTGACCAACTTCCTGGACAGTGCAGAACTCCTGCCCTCCCAGGCAGTTAAGACCCAGGCTATGGCAAAGCTTGTTTTTTTTTTTTTTTTTTTTTTTTGGTTTTTCAAGATAGGATTTCTCTGTAGCTTCAGAACCTGTCCTGGAACTAGCTCTTGTAGACCAGACTGGCCTTGATCTCACAGGGATCTGCCTGCCTCTGCCTGGTGGCCTCAAACTCACAGAGATCCACCTGCCTCTGCTTCCCGAGGGCTGGGATTAAAGGTGGCCACCACCCAGGGGGAGCTTGGTTATCTTGACTGTACAGACAGTTCTTTGATGTAGCACCAGGTGACACCTGAGGCAGGTGAGTTCCTGAAACCAGGTGACACCTGAGGCAGGTGAGTTCCTGAAACCAGGTGGCATCCTGAGAACATGGTTGTATCTAGTACCAGGTTGACATAAACATTCCAGGAATCAGGTGACAATTCAGATGTCAGGGACATTCAGGTACCAGCTGATGCCCCAAGAAAGAGGTGACCTCTAGGTACCCAGGTGACATCCTAAGTACCAGGAGACATCCTAGATATCAGATAACATCCCCGGGAACCAGGTAACTTTCCTAGAATTCGGTGACATCTCTAGAACCAGGTGACATTTCAAATATCATATGCCATCCCTGAAAGTCAGGTATCCCTAGAAACAGGTGACATCCAGGTACCAGGTGACAACAGTCCGGGAAACAGTTGAATCCTGAGTGACAAACTAGTGGCCCTGGGCCTTACCTGCCGATGACTTCTATGTTGGAGATGGCGTAGAAGTACTTGTAGAGGTTCTCCCGTTGCACGTAGGTGCCGCCCAGCGCGGGGCGAAGCAGTCGCATGCGCAGGTCGGTGAAGGTGAAGAACTCCTTGAGGCCCTTGGCACTCTCCAGCCTCGTGTACAGGTTGTCCATGTTGCGCAGGTCAGGGCCGGCAAAGATGGCGAAGCGGTCCCTCACTTCGAAGCGCACATGCTTCTCCTTTTTGGAGCCTGCCCAGCGTGAATACTCCTCCGTGCAGAGCACCCGGTGGGCGCTAGAGGGTGACATGTCTCGGGCCCGGCGGGCGGACATGCCAAAGGCCTCCATGCAGTCCTCTGCATAGAACTGGTAAGGCTGCCAGGTGCGGCCATTGTCCAGGGACTTCTCGAGGACCATGACTGTGGGCCGGCCATACTCGAAAGTCATCACCACGTCATCTGTCAGCTCCACGCTCTTGTTCCAGGAGAGGGTGATGTTGGCCTCCAGGGGACTGGGGTAGCGACTCCACGTGACACTTTGCCAGTAGGTGGCCAGTCCCTCATCTTCCCTGTCAAACATAAGCCGGGGTGGGTGGGCCAGGTCGGGGTTGGAGGCATCGCACTCGTTACTGCACAGGTAGGGATTTTCCTGCAGAGGAAGGGAGACAGGAAGTAGGTGCTGGTCACTGGGAAGAGCCTCTGGTGTGCTTGTTTGGTGCCTAGCCACCTGCTTAGCCATCACCAAGTTCCGGATGCAGACAGTGGCAAGTGCTTGTCCCACACAGATAGCAGGTGCCTGATAATAAGATAATGGGGTCGGGATGGTCAGAAAGTTGGGGTTCTTGATATTCTGTACTTTCTACCCTGTTCTAGAAGGCAATAACTAGATGGAAGGCCAATTAATTAACAAACAACAAACCCTACCGCTGCCAGCTGCACAGTGCCCCAGTCCACACAGCCACTTTGATGAATATTTCAGGTGTCTGTGCAGAGACAAAGTAGCTTGGATCTGAGTTAAAAACCTCTCACTCTCTAATGAGCCATGAGGCCCCTGGGGGGTGGACACGTTGCCACCATCCCAGGCCACCCCAGCCAGCAACACCGCAGTCAGCCACTGGCCACAGGCTTTGATCCTCTATAGCACAGGACTGATGCCAGGCGGCCTAGAGCTGCTCGGTGGGCACAGCTAGCCCAGGGCTTCACTAAGATGGGACCCACAAAGCCCTGACCGACCAAAATAGCTCTGTCCTTAGCATCCCGTGGTGTCAGTGTCCACCCCACCTGCCTGGCCCTGCTGATGGGTGGAACCAGAAACCTTGGAGTTTAAGGAATTTCCCACCAGTCTGGCACCTTCCTGGGCAGAGTGGGAAACTGAGGCCCAGGGAAGGCAGGATAACCCCAGGCCTTTTCAGAGGGATTAGAAGAACTCAGGAGAAACCAAACCCTGTCAATCCTCCCTCTCCCTCTTTCCTATCCTCCGCCTCTTCCCCTCCCCCTCCCTTCCATTTTCTACCACACTCACCCGCTCCTTCCCTCCTCCTATCCTGCACTGCCTCAGGGATACCCCTTTCACATCCGGTAAGTTTACAAGCGTGATGGTGAAGGAGGAGCTTTAGGTTACTTCCACCAGGGTCTCACGCTGTTGGCCAGAATGGAAGGGTCTGAGTGACCTCCATAGGCTTGATGACAGGCAGGGGTCAAGCCCAGTGACCAGGAAAAGGAGACTGGCTGACCATGAGGTCACTCCTACACCCCCTTTCCCTAGCATGAAGGACACTCTGAGCCCAGGGCAGAGTGTGCCTGCTTGTGCACTGGGAAGTGGAATGGCAGACACACACTTTTGTACATGAGCAGGGGGCTGGAGGACATCATGACTCAGGTTGGGTGCTTTCCAGCTCCCTTTCTCCTGCTGCCCTATGCCTTATCTGGGTCTCATCTGTGTCCCCTCAAAGTCACATGTTAATGTCTAACCCTCAACACCCTCAAAAGGCAGCTAGCTGTATTTTAAGATAGTCTTTAAGATGAAGGAGTTAGCTGGGCGGTGGTGGCGCACACCTTTAATCCCAGCATTCGGGAGACGGATGCAGGTGGATTTCCGTGAGTTCAAGACCAGCCTGGTCTATAGAGCGAGTTCCAGAGAAACTCTGTCTCAGAAAAAAAGAGAAAAAAGATGAAAGAGTTGAAGGAGGCCCTCTGGTGGTCCTTCTCCATCTGAGAAAGGCCCCCTTATAAGCAGAGAAAAGGGGCTCACACAGAAACACCGGGGCATATGCACACACACCTGGAGGAAAGGCATGGGACACAGATGGAGGTGGCCACGGACACCATAAGGAGCGAGGCTCCAGGAGCCTAAGCCTCTAGCACCTTGATCTTCAAACTGAGAGACAGTGAATGTCTTTGCTGAAGCTGTCAGCTCCTGGGAAGCTCATCCTAGTGAGCCAAGTGGGAGGGTGGCCACTCAGATGGGTGTTGCTGACCCTGGGTTTTCCAGGGTGTTCTTAGGGACTTTCTAGACCTCTTCCCTCAGAAGGGGTGTTGCTGACCCTGCGTTTTCCAGGGCGTTCTTAGGGACTCTCTGGACCTCTCTCTCCATAAGCCTTTTCTCCCCCTCCTCTGAAGGCCATGTTCTTTACCAGGCCACCTGGTCCACGGGTAATTTTATTAATTTTATTAATGTCTGCCCATCTCATATTGACTATCAATATGCCTCTCTATCTCTCTCTCTCTCTCTCTCTCTCTCTCTCTCTCTCTCTCTCTCTCTCTCTCTCACACACACACACACACACACACACACACACACACACACACACCTCCCCAGCTGCTGTGAGTCACCATACCTCACCTTTTTCCTGGAACCTTTTCCAGCCCCCTGCCTTAGCTACCCCCAGCCTGCTGCAAGTTCTTGGGCTGGGGTGGGGACATGGTGTTCTTCAAAGCCCCTATCATGGAGAGATGGATACAGGGGCTTTGCCAGGGGCTGGGGACTAGAGCCTAATTAAGGGTACATGCTGCCCAACCTGCCGGGCCTGCCAGCCCCCTACCCCAGCCCCTGGGAAGCAGATGGTGAGACACTAATGAATCAGCCTGTGTATTTACCAGGCTCATGCCGACTGCAGCGAGGGCTTTGCCAGCCTCAAGCACAGCGAATAATCCCAAGCCGTGGCCAGCACAGTCCTCTGTCAGCTCCTTCCCTCTTCCTCCCACCTCACAGCCACCACCAGATCTCAGCATCCTGTATCACCGAGAAGGCCTGAGCTGTGGCCACAATGAGCCAACCCCTCTCTGAACACGCCTTGGCTCAGGCCCTGGCTTGCTTTCCTTGCCACACTAGGGAGAGCTCCGGGGGAGTTCCAGCCAGCCCCACCCCCACCCAAGCGGGACAGCTGAGGACAGCGGGAGGCAGTAGTGACTTTGCCAGCCTCCTGGGTCTCCAGCTTCCATGACTATGGAACAGATTAAGTGTGAGTGAAAACAGCCAAATGAAGTGGTCTGACAAGGACAGCAAATGTTAGGGGGTTTCGGGCACCCTTTTACCTTGTAGGAAGAAACCCAGACTAAGTGGGGATGCTATTAAAACCAACACTTGCTTCCATAGCCGCTTAACGATTAGCACCCCAAAACAAGTGTGCACACCCCTGATTTTAAAAGCCATAGCGGGGGGGAGGGCTTGGGGACTTAGGGCATAGTTCAGTCAGTAAAGTGCTTGCTGCAGGGACTTAAATTTGAGCCTCAAAAGTCATGTTCAGAAGCCAGGTGAGGTGATGTACTTCTAGCTCTTACTGTGGAGGCAGAGGCAGGAATAACCGCAGGGCACACTGGCCAGCTAGCCTGGAGTTCCAGGCAAGTTCCAGGCCAATGAGACACCTTGTCTCAGAACCAAGGCATATGGTGCCTAAGGAGTGCAACCTAGGGTTGACCTCTGGCCTCTACTGATAGGTGCGCACAAAAACATGCACACACAAGCACAAAAAGCCTTGGATTTTCCCTCTCCCCCAATGCAGTCACCCACCACATGCATTTCCCATACAGTTTCTAGGGGTTCCCTGGAGCACTAAGTCTGGGTTAGAACCCCCTGTTTTAGAGTTTGGGGCCATTAAGGAAACTGGCTCTACGTCCTAAGCTCAGCTCGTCTCCCCCCTCTGGAGGCTTTGTGACCTTGAAAAAGCCATTTGACTTTTGCTCGTCCTATGTTCTGTGAGATAGAGTGTATGAGAAACCCAGGTGACATCACTGTACGGTAGTGACACTTTTCCATAGCCGATTCCTGCATGTCAGCTACCTTACAAGGGAAGGAGATGGAGGTGGATGCTGGAAGATGCTGGGAACCTGGGAACTCCATGACACAGACCACCCCGAACATAGACTGCTTCAGTGACAGTTAGTCCAGGGGCACAGTGATGGCGGGACCAGGGACAGATGTTGTTATGGTCACTAAGCACTTACCAGCCAATGTCACTTCTAGATACGCTGGAACTGACCTTGGGGAATACTGGGGAATCAGAGCAAGCATCTCTGCAGCTTTCCTGTTTCCACACACCCCAAGCAAGTCGGCTGGAAGGTAGGCAGTGCAGCTACCCTGGGCCAGCAGCGCAGGGCACCAGGGTGGGGTAGGGAGGCATGACAAGTCGCTTGCAAAGTCTCTAAGCAGGAGACAGACTGGCAAAACCGGTCTTGTGCCTGGCTCGGGCACTTTTGTCTCTTTAATGATTATAGTTTCCCGTTATTTTCAGGGCAGGAGTCAGAGTCCAGGTGGCAAACACCCTGGGCAAGCTCCTGGTGAAAAGCAGGAACAGGAAGTGAGCTGCTGTCAGGCAGAGCAACCCTCATCTGGGAAAGTCCAGCCATGTGAGTCTCCAAACCCCTAACCCAGAAGTGCTAACAGGCCTCTTGGGTCTTAAGCAGCCTGTGTTCAGGCGGTCAATGTCATGGAGTCTCCAAGTTCCCGTCATCCACCTCCAATTCTCTCACTCCAGCTGACATGCAGGAATGGGCTATGTAAAAACTGTTACTACCATGTGGACATCACCTGGGTTTCATACAGAATGCAGGACAAGGAAGCAGAGGCTCAGGAAAGTCAAGTGGCTTCCTCAAGGTCACCAAAACCAGAACAGTTTCCGCTAGAGAAAAGGATGGCTTCATAGCACCTGGGCATGAAACCAAAACCTATGTGGGGACAAACTCCCAGCCACTGCCCATGACATGGGCTGCTTGGCGCTTCACAAAGGGCCTTGATGGGTAAGTCTGGTGGGCTGAGGAGAAACAGCCGATCTCTGAGTCGCATGTGAGCTCCGAGTCTGGGTGAGTCTGAGTGAGTTTTCAACTTCTGTTGACCTGCTGGGGTTCAACACATACTACCTCAAAATATGTATTCTTTTTTTAAGATTGATTGATTAATTGATTGATTGATTGATTTATATAGTGTTCTGCCTTCATATATGCTTGCAGGCCAGAAGAGGGCACCAGATCTCATTACAGATGGTTGTGAGCCACCATGTGGTTGCTGGGAATTGAACTCAGGACCTTTGGAAGAGCAGGCACTGCTCTTAACCACTGAACCATCTCTCCAACCCTCAAACTATGTATTCTTAAATATTTTATTTTTATTTATGTTATGTGTGCTGGTGTGTGTGTGTGTGTGTGTGTGT